AAAAAAGACCCCAAAGAATATGAAAGATTTTTAAATGCCAGGAGGAAACAGTGAAAACTCACGGAATTTTTTGTTTCAAAACAATTTATCATTTTGGAGATCCTATACAAATTCTCATTGTGATGGTCTGGGTAATATAAGTGGCCAAGTCCCAGCTGCCACTACCACATACGTACACACATGCGCATGCACACACATGTAGTCTGCCCTGCTTTTGAAAGTTAGTTTTGTCAATATCTAAAGGCAAAAATTCATCATTCTTAACCTATTGTACTTAAAAGACTCACATAGTCTTCAGCACAGGACAGTCTTTCTGATTCAGGATGTGTACAACACTTGGTGCCCACTTTTCCTAGGTTTCTTGAGACCTCCACGAGAGTGGGAGTTGACACTTGAGGTACTTTCTTGGTATAACGAACTAAGAGCCTGTAACAAAATAATTTATGTGTTTTCAACCAGGCAAGAAACTGTCTTTCTTGAACACAGTAGGTCAAACAGAGAGCACTTAGCCAAAAATCAACAAAATGACTTTTTGTTCATAAAATTATCTCTGTCCCCAGATCAGTGGAATAGTATGGGGGAATATCTTGTCCTGAGTAACTAGGTTAGCCTATCTTTGATTCCACCTGTGCTGTATAATCTTAGGAAAGTGACTTACCTTATTACAATTCGGTGACACTAGTATATTTATTCATTGTTTCTTTCTTTCAATAAAACCTACTGATGACTTAATATATATCAGCACTGTGCTAAATTTGAAAGATATGTATAAATTTTCTCATCTATAAAATGGGAGAAACTATATCTGACCAATAGGGATGGTACAAGTATTAAATTAAAATAAAGCATTCAATCAACCTGGTGTGGTATCTAGTATGTAGTAATTATTTACTAAAAGTTCCAATCACCACTGAAAGTCATATATGACTATAATCTACTCAAAGGAAGAGTCTATACCTGGTTCATTGTTGTTATCCCTAATATCCATAGTTAGAAGAGAGCTAACATATGTAAACTGAACGATAAATATACTGAATGATGTATCATTTCTTATCTTTACCTCCATAGATAAGGCTCTAATAGATTAGGACATGAGTCCATCAGCTTATATAGTACTCCTTGAGCTACTATTATTCAAAGCCTACCATTTCCTCCTTTATAAAGCATCAATGTATTTTGTTTGCCAATAAGCTAGTCCTTAACCTTCAAGGGCCATCCTCTGTTCCTATATTCCAAGATGTGGTATTTTCCTTTCCAATCTTGAGAGACAAATTTTTTAAACCACACTCAAACATAGGCTTCTCCATCCCATTAACCATTTTTTGTCTTCTCCAGTTTTTCTTGATGAAGAGAGATGAGAAATATATACTGTATTTTCATGATTAAAATCTCTATGATAAATGGTATCTATATTAAGTTTTAATTAATTACAAATTGATCAAGGAAAAACCAGTCAATAAACCAAAATACATACGCATTTTGGAAGCCATATTCTCCAAGTTTTTCGAAAAGTTCGCAGTTTGTTTTGATTAAATTCTGGGGCTCCTCCACAAGAGGTTTAAATTCATCAAACTGAAAGATAGAAGAATTGTGTTGACAGAATTCTACCTGAGGAACGCATGAAGGTTACTTTTCACCTTTCTAGGCAGAATGAGATACTTCCTTCCTTTGCCCAAAGTCATTAATTAGATCTTTGATGCCAAATCTATTACAATGTATTCAAACTATTTATTTTATTTGGTGAGACTGTATAGTAAAAGGGATTAAGAAGTAAAAGGCTCTAGTGTGTAACTGCTGGTTTTTGAGCCAGGCCACTCAACCCATTTTCTAACTATGTAACTTTACTTCCCATATCCAAGCTTCAGAACCCTCACCTCTACAATAGGGATGAAAATTAAAAAAAAAGAAAAGAAAAGAAAAGAAAAAAGAAAGAAAAATAAGAGAAAGAATGAAAAACAAATAAGGAAAATGAGGATAAAGATGGTATTAACCTCAGAGAATTATTCTATAAAACACCTGAGTTAATACAATTAAAACTGTACCTGGAAGATAATAAAAGCTCAATAAATGATGGCTCTGACTTATTGGCTATCATTATTATTAAGCCATCTCTCCAGTTGGATTCTGAGCTCCCTGAAATAAGAGATTTTACCTTGGTCATTGGTTCCAGTATAGTATGTGGCATAGAGTAGGTTCTTGGTGGAAGAAAGAATGACATTCCTTTGATTCTGAAGTTTGGAAACCACTATATATGCCATGAGTGCTAAGTATCTTAAACATGTTACAATCTCTTTGGCATGGCTAAATATGGCAAAAATCCTCCAGAACAGTTATTTTCTCATTACTTCTTGTTAAACAATTCTTAAGCTTTTTCCAAAAATTTTGAAAATATTTTAGATGAATACATCTCACAATCTTCCTTAAGATGCCAATTCTTTTTTAAAGAATATAAAACGATTTATTTACCACTGTTTACCAACATTTTACAGTAAAGTAAACAATATACAGTTAGATAACAATCTAAGACTCTACTTCTTGGTACTTGATCAGTCTTGGAATCTGGTTAACTACATATCTAAGTCTCTTAATTGACATTAATATTTATCTTATTTTGTTCTCAGGAGTGCAAAAAAGGAAAAAAAAAAAAAGCATGGCCTAGATTTTGTGAAATTAGAGGTTGTTCCCTTTAGATCTTTCCCTTCTAGGCTATTCTAGGTCTTATTAGCCATCTATTTTTCCCATAATGTTTAAGAGCACAGAATTAAAGGCATGTCAAGAAAAGATCTAAATTGCACTATTTAATAATTTACACTCTTGCATTATTTTTCTTTCTCATTATTAAGGATCATCACCCAGGCAGCTCCATTTTTCCCCTTGAGAAACCTACCACATGGGCATAGCAAGTAGGAGGATCCTCGGTGGCACAGCACTTCTCTAGGGTGGCTTCATATTCCTTGGCAAGTCTCAAAAGCAATGAGACAGAGTAATCAGGGTGCCTTCTGGAGTATTCATACAAAAACCTAATTCAGATGAAAATAAAATAGATTTAATTAGACAAACAAGCAAGACAAATCCCAAAACTAGCCTCAAAAGTAACTCATATCCCAAAGATCTGAATTTGACTAGACCCCATGCAGGGAAGGTTAATGACCAAGAGTCTGGGGTTCAGAACTAAAGCTATCTGCATTCAAATCCTGACAACTTCCTAAAACTATCACAGACTTAGTTGCCTTCTCTGTAGAATGCGGATAATAAGAGTTCCTATCTCATAAGGTGGGTTGCAAGAAATGCATGACATAATCAATGCAAAGCACACGCTGTCTGGCACATATTAAATGTTTGATGAGTGACCCCTGTTTTTATTATGGATTTTTTTTATAATTTGGACTATATCTCAAAAAAGTTCTGGTAGATAAATAGAGTTATATTCTAAATTTTTTCCCCTCTGCATGAATGAAATCTTTATGTAAAATACATAGTGCACATTACACTGTTATAATCCAACAATAAAAATGCAAAGTTTTGGGGCACCTCGTGGCTCAGTCAGTTGAGCATCTGACTTCAGCTCAGGTCATGATCACATGGTTTATGGGTTAGAGCCCTGCGTCAGGATCTGTGCTGACAGCTAGCTCAGGCCTGGAGCCTGCTTTGGATTCTATGTCTCCCTCTCTCTCTGACCCGCCCCTGCTCATGCTGTCTCTCTCTCTCTCTCTCTCTGAAATAAAAACATTAAAAAAATTTTTTTTAAATGCAAAGTTTAACACCCCACTTACTGACTATATATAATCACTTATTTTGTCACGTAATTTCTTGCTGACTTGCCATGCTACTGTTATTTCTGGTCTGTTCAACCAAATATAAAGCAGACTTCATAAATAACCAAATGTATAGCACACTCCAAACTTCTCTTTATATTTTTATATAGATAGATAAATGGTAGATAGATAGATTGATAGATAGAGAGATACAGATATACAGAGATATAAAGATGCATTATGTATAGTCACACATATATATTGTAGTAAGTTCGAGAAATATTCTTTGAATGAATAATATGTATATAATTTATGTATATACAAAATGTTCCTAGAGATATTTCCAGAAATATCCCTGAGGAGAAAAGGAATGGGGTGGGGGTAAGATAGAAACTTACTACTTTTCTCCTCTTTCCTATCCTCTTCTCTATTGATTGAGCTTTACCATAAGTATGTATTAGCTTATAATAACTTTTTTAAACTAATTATTTTTTTTCCAAAGAAATACTTAAAAACTAAGAGAGGGAAGGATTAAGAAGTAGACAACACAGAAATTGTAACAATACCAAAGGAAAGCCTAGTATATCTTTCTGAATCTTGAGACCATAGAAAAGCTGTGGAAGTATCATTCTTTATCCACTTACGTGCCCAGGAACACATCTTTTGCCTCCTGATAGTTCTTGCAAACTTCCTTATCTTCAACAAAATCAGCAGCTAATGGGGGCAGGTCAGCAGGCAACTCATCTCTTTCTACCTCGCTGATGCAATGGGATTTTTCCAACACAGGCTTACCACAGCATTCCTTCAGCTTAGAGGAGATTGAATCTTGATTCTCACATATGTACTTGGCAAGATCCGCCTATAAGCAAGTTGATAAAAATTTTTCAATGTAAATTGACATCACTCTCCTTCTCTCCAGACCTTTATTATGTTGGCAAAACATGTTTCTTGTATTCTAAGACCATACACATACCAACATGCCTTCCATGAACACTTTCAGTCTGTGCTCCTAAGGCTAGAGACTCAGACAGAACTACTTAAATATTTCCACTTGACTACAAAGACTGGTCAGTAACAGGGGCCCATATCAGTTATCATTAATTGTATATTTCTACTATTAAGGCATTTAAGTTTTTAAATTAAAAGTCAGTACTATTTTTCCAGATCTTCCCCTCAAATTAAGTACAGGCATTTTGAAACCAGATAACTAAATAAAATGTGAGATATTTTTGAAAAATTAGTCAAGTGTTCGCTTCAGCAGCACATACACTAAAATTGGAACGATACAGGGAAGATTAGCATGCCCCCTGCACAAGGATGACATGCAAATTCATGAAAAATTAGTCTAGACTATAGTCACAGTTTCTACTTACACAAAGTAAAATATTTGCCTTAAATGTTCCACACTTGATCTTAGCCAAAAGGCCAAGAAGCGATTGCCTTAAATTTTCCAGTAAGTATCCCGAGTTTTTAAGTTTGGAGAAAAGAGATCCCATGCTAAATATTTGTGTAGTTAACAAAGATGGTTAACTAAGACAGAATATGGTGGGGAGGGGGAACCATATAATTTCCAAAGATCTCGTTAGCAACTAACGCTTCTCCAACTCCACCCACCTTCCAAAAAAGTTTTCGTAGAAATCTACCTTTCTACCAGCTGTCCGACTTCAGCGCAAGCATTTGTTCTCAGAATATGACTGAAAGGATTACAAATTAGTGGATGTGTTTATCAGATCATTTCATGAGTGAAATGGCCAGGTTTAAATAAACAACAACAAGAAAAAAAGACCATAAGGCAGGGAAATAATTGAGCAGATTGTGCATAGAAAAGAACCTCAATCTACTCTCAGCCTCACTAATAATACTAAGCAAATTCGTACTACCGACTGAAGCATGTACATTACCAAAGAGCATACTTTACCCTGTCATCTGCACATTCAAGCAGGTCACCATGGCAGCATTCCTTGTGGACTTTGGCAAGATCTGTCACTAACTTAGAAATCTCTGCAAAGTCAGCCTTGGGAAATTTCTGGCTCAGACGAGCTACTGACCTAAGAAGAAAATCCCCCCATCAAAACATTAATAACATGCAATATTTTGTGTAAAAGCATTAGGAAAATACTACTTATAACAAGAAAATTCAGGACAAAACAGCATATCACAATAATTTGTAAAATGTGTTGGTTCTTATTTTAATGCTAATTCTGAGCCACATGGTTATCTTAGGGCAAAATGTTTCCTTAGGGCAGAATTAGCCATTGTAAGAGTGTGTGTGGTGGATAAAGTCCAGCTATTCATAAAAACAAAAATCAAGAAGAGATTCTAAAAGAGGCAACATGAGGGGCGCCTGGTTGGCTCAGTCAGAAGACCTTGTGACTCTTGATCTCAGGGTTGTAAATTCAAGTCTCACATTGGATGTAGAGAATTCTTAAAAATAAAATCTTTAAAATAAAAAGTGAAATAAAATAGGCAATATGTGGAAAAGCATCAGGTTTGGAGCCCAGACATGGCTTCTTGACCTAGCTTTATCACTTACTAGCAGTGGGACCCTAGGCAAGTTACTCAGCCTCTATCCAGTCACAACAGCATGCTAAATTGCAAGACTGATGTGAAGATTAAATTAACTCATGCAAACACATTTTATAAACTGGAACATGTCATGTAAACTCCCGTTATCTTTTTTAAATCAAGATTCCTGACTTCTAAAGGTCTCTGAGGGAAAAAAAAAAAATTCGTAACTTCCACAAAATGAGGGATCATTGATTAAGCATACTTTTACCAAGAAATTGATCCAGGACAGTGTTTAAACTCTAGGACAACACATAAAAGCTTATATCCATATGCTTCCCCAAATCGAGTCAGAGTCTTCTAAATCTGTTCAAAGCTTCTTCTTCCACCAGATTAAGAATAGCCTATTTAACTGTGTATCATTTCATGTTGGAGTTGTTTTATTTACTGAGTTAGTTGATTTGGGTGGTGTGGATGGTAGACATGGCAGGCAAAGACTGCTCAAATGATGGTATTTAGAGAGCTTGTAGAATGTCTATTATTTTCATTTCTCTCCTGTTGTTGATTCATTGTTGACTACCATGGGAGGGATAGTGGGCAGGGGATTTCTCTTGGCTTAGAAACTGAAGAATGTTCTGGAACCAGCTAAGTAATACAAAAACAGAGGTGCGGACAAAAACAAGGGATTTATAACAGAGCTGGAGCCATAAGAAAATGACAACTAACCTTGAAGGCTAAATTTAACTATCAGAACATAAAAGGACAAGTGTTTCCACAGAATTGATGGGGAGGGGTGGGTTCAATTAAGTAGAAGACCCTGACTACTGCTCTGTAAAAATAGTGGATCGTTAGAATGAGATTCATAGTTTTTATAAATAAGTGGAAGTTTAAATACCTGTCCTAGAAGGACAAAAAAAAGATAGCCTCTAAATTCTTTGACTTCTTAGAAAAAAATATGAAAAAAATAATGAGGAATTGTCACTGATGTTCTGATTTTCACCACTGTTAAATTTCTACCTTTTAAACAACCAGAATGAGGCATGTGAAAGCACCGCATAAGACGTCACATAAACGGACATTTTTGTCAGCTGAACTATAATCATTTACATCATTATAAAGATTCAAACTAAGTTGAAAATACCATGCTTTGAAAGCTCTTTCTCCGAATTTTTGAAGGCTGGCACACTTGAGTCTCTCTTTGGCAGATGAAGCCAATACTTTTTCCCTCAAAGCATCAATCTGCAAAAAAAGAAATGATTTGGGAAAAATTAGAAAAGGAAAACTCTATGCAAAACACCCCTTCATAAGTCCAGGTGAGGATGTGCCACGTGAAATTTTGAAGTGATCATTTACACCTAAATTCCCAAGTGCTCACTATTGGCAAGTAATTGTTTTGCTATGGAAGAGGAGGACAATCCTTCTGGTCATCGTGTAAGCCTCTATGTGGTTAAGAACCAGCATGGAGGAAAAGAGACCTGAAAGGGAATGCGGAGACTCAGGGTACACTAACATCCCAGGGAATACAATTCTGTGGACTACTTCTTTTTTTTTTTTTTTAATTTTTTTAACGTTTATTTATTTTTGAGACAGAGAGAGACAGAGCACGAGCTGGGGAGAGGCAGAGAGAGAGAGGGAGACACAGAATCTGCAACAGGCTCCAGGCTCTGAGCAGTCAGCACAGAGCCTGTTGCAGGGCTCGAACCCACTGACTGCGGACGCTTAACTGACGGAGCCACCCAGGCGCCCCTCTGCTGACTTCTTAATTTCACTTACAACAGACCTCAACCCCTCCTCCACCAACTCTCACAACATCAATAAGCCCCTTAGAGAAAGCAATACATAATAAATATTTATGGAATGGGTGAATAAACCCAGCCTTCTAGAGGCAGTTGAATTCTCCACTTTGAATTCCCTCCCCAGTAAAAAAAAAAAAAAAAAAAAGCTCATGAAAAGATTAACAAAACTGTGGCCTCTTGCTGTGCAGTTTTACAGATGAGTTTCTGTATGTCACTGTAGTGACCCAACCCTACCTATAAGGGATGCAGGATAGTTAGACACATACACAGTGATTTCCACATCAGATCCACTGTGGCAAATCTGAGAAGGAGGAATGAGGAGGTCAGAGGTCTTCAAAGAGGGTGAAAGGTCTTTGGGGGAGTTAAGAGAGAGGGAGGCTTTTCTGTCCATGTCAAGAAGTTTGTATTAGAGATGGGAGTTCCCTGAATCTAGCCATAAGATGTGCAAAGTCTGAGGTCTGATTATGAGCTGCCCTCCTGTGCTTCTGGTGAATACCTTTGGTGTCAGGCAGGCAGCTTTATCGGCAGCTTGGCAGCATTCTGTAAATACTCCTTTATATTCCTCAGCATAGTAAAGGAGTTCTGGGGCATAAAAGTAAGGATGTCTTCTGGCAATTTCATATAAGTATCTACATTTTTAAAAAGAAAAACAGGCAGTCATTCTTCTGTAGCAAACAATATCACAGGAACAATTGTAATCAACAATCTCATCTAATTTACCAGTTAATCTCAATTTGCACATGATGACCTTGACTTTGTCATTCTTTAAGTTAGTGAAAAAGCTAAACTTATCTGTATAAATTATATATATTTATATATGTATTAAGTTTTATATATATGTACACACATATACACACACATATGTATCAAATGGTTACATTTTGGTGACACAATGTTTTTGACTAAAATGAAATCAACTCTGAGAATACATATCTTCATAACATTTTAACAGACATCAATCTCAGTTATTTTATACAGAACATGTCCTGTTTCAATGAACTCCAAAAGATCTTTGATCACATTTTTTATCATGGAGAATTTTGTAGTATCAAATATTACTTCTTTGAAAATTGTCACTAGAAATGAAGCTTCTAAGCCTTAATGCTGAAACTGTCTTTTATGGTAGTAATTGTTATCATAAGCCTTGATCTATTTCCTAATGTTTCATTTTGCAGCATACAAATCTTATTACTTACTTTCCCAGGAACCTCTGCTCGTTTTCGTGAAAGGCAGTGCACATGGCATCGGCCTCTGGGGGCACCAGCGGAGGGAAGCCGGGATTGTCATCTTTGTGTTGCAGGAAGCATTCGTTTCTCTCGGGTTCCTGTTTCTCACAGCAATCGGCCATCTCACCATACTTTTCGCGAAGAGAGGCAACTGTACACAGTTTATCTCCAAAGAGAACGTGCTAAATGGAAGAGAACAGGCTTCAAATCACGGGGAGGTATTTTATTTTCTTTACACCCAAAGAGCAGTTAAAAAATTTCATGTATCAGTAAAGCTTGGTTAGGAAACCATGTAAACACACTTTTTTCCTCTGGTATAGAGAGATTCCCAAGATTTGACCATCTATGTAACTCTTGCAAGAATAAACTATCATGTGATTACTGACGTGGATAAAATGGAAAGACAACAAGACAATCAATAGCATTATGGGATGAATATTGCTCCTATTTCTACCAAAGGCTACAGGCTGGAAGAGCTAATAAACAATCAAGGGAAAATAATCTTCTAAGTAGTAGGTGAATTCACATGAGGAAAGTACTCAGAGAGTTTCTCATTTGATCTGCTCCTTTGTCAGGGTCTAGCTTTTACATAGATGCCATTCAAGAACTGAAAAGTAACATGATTTACTGTATATTAATTACTATATTAAAATATAGACCTTTTTATTCAAGAAACATTTGCCTCAAAACACATTCCATTAAATGTATTCTTTCTGTCCCTCTTAATTTTATTATGAAAGTAATTGGAGCTCCAGGGAAAATAAACTGCTGAAGACAGAATTAATTTTCAAATATATTTTTAGAAGTCAGATTTAGAGTCTTAAG